TTTTTAATATATGTATATTATTATGAGATGTTAAGTTAGATATATCATTTATTTTCTCAATACCATCAATTTATTTATTTTAATCTTTAAGTGAGAATGAATAAACTCTAGTTCACAAATGCTTTTTAAAGAAGATTTTATATGTGTGTATATATATGTAAATAAATATATATAAATTTAGTTTTATCCATTTCCTTTTTTTATCATTTGCTCCATTTGGAAGAATAGATAATATACATTTCAGAGACTGTGAAAAGGTATAGAAAAAGCTCTGGCAACATTTTGATTCAAATATTAAGTGAAAAAAGTAAAGGAAAGAGGGAGATTGTACAAGTTTATATGTCCAAAACTATTATTTTCTATTCATTTCCAGCTCCATACATTTCAAACAACAGGTCTGTGCCAAGTTACCATTCTGAGCCAAGTAAACACTGCATCAGAAAGGTCATTCTGTAGAAATAACAGTGTTTTAACTTCCTCTTCTCCAGGTGAGCTAATGCCACATTGCAGATGCCGTTCCCATTTAGATAAGAGGAGATAAAGGAAATTGTATTCCAATTTTAATGCTTTCTTTGTCACTTTGAATAAAACGCACCAATGCAAGGACTTTTACAAAGCAGTTCTGTGTGAACAGAAAATGCAGCCAGGTTGTTAACCAAACGTAATTGTGTGGTGATAACAAGACTCCGAGTCTCTATTGGACATGTATTTAACATCAGAAAAGGCAACTGGTGAGGACAGCCCATTTAAAATGCCACGATTATGCAATAGTACATACTGTTTTAGAATAACAAACTCCTACTTTAGTATTGTTTAAAGATGAAAGAACTTAATGCATATTTTGTCCCCTGGAGCCAAAGGGCTGGAGGTGACTGAACAAACACAAGCCTCAGATGCTGTGTGGAACATAGACCCACAGTCACGTTGGCCTCGGCCTGGTGAGTCAGTCTGAGCAGTCCAACTGATGGTGGTGAACTACTCTGTGTGTGTGAGTGTGAGTGTGTGTGTGAGTGTGTGTGTGTGAGAGGGAATTTGCTCTCACTGTTCCTAGCAAGGAAACACGCTAGTTGGAAGATCTCAAGGTGAACAAAACCTTTATGAGCTTCATAACTTCAATACTTAATTTTAAAGTCCTAAACCCAGAGCATTTTTGGCTCAGTGATATCATCGTATTTGGATTCTGGACAGGGAGGCAGCTCATGTCAGGAGGCAACACAGTTAATGGATGGACGCTGACTTGGGTGGAAAGCTGAGTCTGGTTCCCTAGCTCTACAGAAAGAAGGACGTTTTTAAGGTAGTAGTTTGCAGAGCTTCCTCTGCAATGGGCATGCTTCTGAGCCTGAACTAGAATTTACCTCGTGAATTTAGGTGATCAATTCATCTTTCTAAGTCTGAGCTTTCTCTTTTATAAGCACATTGTAACAATACAGTCAGAGTAGAACTTCTTGGGCCTTGTTCAGTGTGGGTCTTCCTCTGTTTTGGTGTTTTTCTGTGAAGAAGGAAATGCAACCCGATCCTTCTGATGGACATCTCTAAACTCTCTAGAGATGCTGTGTTTTCAGAGACTAGTTTGAAACCAACTTCTCCTCTGGTTGCTCTACACCCTCTGTGCATTCCTGCTTCCTATGAGCAGACAGTATGTGTATCTCTAGAAGAGGGATGCACAAGATGAGGTGGTCCCTCTTCTCATGCATCTTGGAGTCTCCCTGTCTCTTTAGAATCAGATTAGTAAGGCGATGTACGAATCGTTTCTTCTGGACAGACCTTGCGGCCATCTTTCATTTCCCCATCTCATTCAATTAAAAAAAAAAAAAACAAAAAATGCTGAGGGTGTCTGTCATCTCTCCCAGACTGATGTGCACTTCCTTTTTGCCCACACCTTGCTGACCTAGCAATCGTCTCCTGGTCCCTGAACCACTAACCAGCCATCACCTCCAATTGGGAGTTTTTCCTGAACACTTCCTCTGCAAAAAAATGTGTTTTACTTATTTTTCTGTTGTCAGCATACAGTAAATCCAGAATAATCTCGTGGGGTTAAAAATGACCCTATAACTTTGAAGGTGTGTGTTTATTTAAAGTTCCCATTTCTCTTTGTGGCAAAATCTCTCAGCTTTCCAATTTGGATTAAGGCTGCTATTTCCCTTTAAACATTACTAACATTTTACTTGGGGATATATTCCCTGAGTGAGACACAGTAAAAACTGGCATCACACCAAGGCTGATTCAGCAGAAGTGCACCTGGCAAACTGAAATGATTTTGTTTTGTACATACTTTTAGGTTTTCTGTGGTGGGGAGCTAGAATAGGTCATATTAACAGTAGCTGGGGACAGAATGTCATGCAAATTAGATTTTAATTCCTTGCCGACTTGTATCACCTACAATGATTCTTTCGCAGATATAGAAGCCTGACACATGTTTTGGTCATATAAGTCATGTAAAACTTCTATTTTATTTTAATTACCTCCCTGCGTAAGTTCCTCCATTTGTAGAATTAAAAGTTAAACCTGCACATATGTGTCAATGATTCATCTAGCTCATTATAGATGGTTGACTTTAAAAATAGACATGCTGTTTTATAAATATAGAATTGAGTTTATAAAGAGATGTCAGGTGCTTTAAAATGTATTTAAATAGGCATATTCTAAATGTCTAAACCTTAAAAATCACTATCATAACTCCATAAAATGTTTCAATTATTTCTGCCAGCTTTTGGCTGAGATATGAGTGGTACTTGCCCCCAATAATCCACAGTAAACTAAAATTTATTGTGTTTCTTCAGTGTCCTAGCAATTATGCAGAATTTTGTATATTTTTAAAGTATTTTATTGTCAAAATAATCTGATGTAGTAGGTATAGTATCCATGTATACATAGGGAAGTGAAGGTTAAGATGAACTGTTCAAAATTACACACCTTATAAGAAATAAACCAGGAATGTCGGGCTTCCAAATCTATCTAGATTTATATCCTCAGTTTAGTAGAGGAAATGTAATACAGTTATGAGACAAGTAAAAATAATCTTTAAAAAATTTTTAAAGTTGTTAATATATTTATTTATAGTCTAGGGTTCTCTTTTTAATGTGTGTGAAGATGTCAATAATATTAACAGGGATTTCATGTTGGTGTTGAAAATAGCAGGCCACTCTTTGCCCTAGGGTAGAGAGGGTTTGTATCAGCTAAATGTAAACTGAATATGTCATTTTATATTTTTGCTAACTTATATTTTTAAAAAGCTCCCTTTATTGGATGTAACTTCCTTTGTTAAAACTATATGCTTTTAAACCGATCATATATAAAGTGATAAGGAATATGAAATTTAAGCAATAAAATTTGGTATGTTAATACAAAACACCAAAGTGTGTAGCATGATAAAGTGCCATTGATTAAAATGATCAATCATAGAAATGAAGTCTGTGCTATCTATATTGTAATAGATAAAATTTGAAGCCAGAAAATCATTATGTAATTTCAGTGTTGAAAGACTCTATGAATGTTGTTGATTTAAGAGTTTTCCCTCCTCCTGGATTTCTGGAATATATTTAGAAGGATAAGTATTAGTTCTTCTTTGAATGTTTGGTAAAATTTATCTGTGAAACAGTTTGGTTCAGTACGTTTGTTTGTTGGGAGCTTTTAAATTACTGCTTTAATTTCACAAGGTGCAGTCTGTCTATTCAGTTTCTCTGATTCTTCCTGATTTAGTGTGGGAAGATTGTATGTTTCTAGGAATTTATCCATTTTTCCAGGTTGTCCAGTGTGTTGGCTGGCAAATAGTTGTTTGTAATGAGTTTTGTGGGTTTAAATATGAATTGTAAATATTTTAGGTGTAATAGCAAACCATAAAACGCAGTCTTAAGTAAAAACCAAAGTCTGCGTCTAATTGAGGATACATTCTATGACAAGATATTTGAAATTATTTCAAAATATTCAAAATCAAACGTAGATTTCCTCAATGCTGTGGTTACAGTACCCCAGGGGCAACTCTCGTGAAAATAAAATGGATCATCAGACCTCCCACACTTCTCCTTGGACTGTGGCAGCACCCGTGTGCAAGGGCCTGGGGCTGCACCGTCATGGGGTGGATGGGGAACGTAGGGTCTAGAAGGCGTGAGCTTGACGCCTGGCCCACAGGGTTCCACCCATCTGTGACCACAGACAGCTTCCAGAACATGTGTGGACTTTTGTTTGTCTCCATAAAAGCAGCCATAACCTCATTCTCTGAATTCCACCAAGTATCGTGGGCAGCACACAGAAGGAATCAAGTAAAGGTGGCTATTTGACAAAATTCAATGCAAAGCGTATTGTTCTATTATCACGTTACCTTCCTGCATGTGTGTATCATACCTGCGGAAGGGGTGAAGTGTATACAGAGGACGAGCTCGGTCTCCAGGCTAATTCCTACTAAGAAGCTCTGTTCCTAAGCCTTGCCATGTAAATAAATTTTTTTGGAGTCTTTCTAGTAGGATATCAAAGGCATACAGAGCTTTCTGTTTGTAGGTAGAGACAAATTCCAGAAACATCTCTGGCCCCACCCACCTCAGCCTCATGTGACCCAGTGGGAAAGCCAAGAACTGGAAGCCATGATCATCCATTGTAAAACTGTAAGTGTAAATATGTATGCCCACGACCAAACACAGTCCACCTCATTCTGCTTTTAAAACACTGTAAGAACAGGTTAAGATCCCGTAACTATTTTATAGATGTGACATGCCATGAGAACTGGACAGGATATCTGCTTTCCCAAGCAGAATAAGTTGATTAAAATAATTAAATGAGATAGAAATAGGAGAGAAAATGAGATGCAAAAATAACAATAAAGTTAATTATTGAGACAGTAATATAAATCATTATACACACAGATAAAAAACTCAGAATGTAATTAATCATAGCTTCACATAAATGCTTAGGTTATCTGGAAAGAGGAGAATCTCTGCATGGAAAAATACCATTTGACATTTGTGATCCTCAAATGTGAGGTTGGTCAGGTAGCGATTCCACTGGGCTGGCAATTGCAGCTGGGACGACAGTCACAGATGGAATTGCCATGTAAGATTTTCTCTTCCACTTTCAAGCTTCACACGCTGGTGGTCTCCCAGCCAGAGTCCTCACCTAAAACAAGAGAAGGGAAAATGATCACTAATGCACTTGAACAGCCAACGTATTAGTAATAATGTAGATGGACATGTCATTTCTTCCCTTCGTGGCCTTCATGAGTCAAAGAAAAATTGAATTTCATTGTAGCTACAGGGTCGTCCAAATGTTTGGTGTCTCTGGGCCACACTGGAAGAAGAGTTGTCTTGGGCCACATAGTAAATGCACAAACCCTAATGGAAACAAAAAAGATGTCATGAAGTTTTAAGTAAATTTATGATTTTGGGTTGGGCCAAGTTCCTAGACATCCTGGGCCACATGTGGCTTGTGGGCTATGGGTTGGACACCTGACCACATGTAGCATGTGTGTGCTCATGGGAACAGCTGCTATCCCCATGTAGACATTTCCCAGCTGGGAATCTTACACAAATAACCTGAGGGACATTGCTGAATCTACGAATTCATAATTCTGTGGCTTGTAGATAAATCTAACTTTGGATTTTGGCTCTTTCTAAAAGCACATGTCAGAACAAAGTAGAATCTTACCAGTATGTACAAAGAGACCAGTGGAAGTTTTGTTTTTTTAATCAAACACAGGAGTAAAACTAAGGAAACGTGTGTGGGCCTGGTGCATTGCTGGAAGAATGCTACATGCCTAGGAAGTGGTGTCAGGACACTGCAGGGCTTTGCTCACATGCTGGGCATCTCTATTTTCAACCTCAACAATGGTTCTATTTAAAACTTAAACCTTAAATGACACTGTGCAGACTTTTAGGTATCTCTCGGTTTCCTACGGGGTGCTGCAAAGTGAATAGCAGAACGAGGATGGCAGAAATTTAGGGAGGGCTTTGTTGTGGTCTCCTTGTGTCTCTGAAAACTCAGAGGAGAATCCTGTGCCCAACGTGATAGTGTTAGAAGGTGGGGCCCTTGGCAGGTGATGAGGTCCCAAGGGTAGAACTCCCATATTTGGGATTAGTGCCCTTATAGGAGACCCAGTAGATGTCCCTAGGCCCTTCCACCATGAAAGGATGCAAAGAGAAGTCTGCCATTGAACAAGGGCCTCACCTGAGCGTGCAGGCATCCTGATCTCGAATGTCCAGCCTCCAGAACCATGATGAGTAAATATTTTTGTTGTTATTTTTAAGCCACTCAGTCTACCCCTAATAGAACTGGGATGGACCACATTTTCAGGAATGAAAACAGAAGGAAAATGAGATGGAATATCATTCCTGTTAGCAGTTACCCCCTCCACCAGGATTGAAACAAAAATCAGGGGAAAAGGAAAACATATATTTAAATGTTACTAATGTTTTATCAATTTTCATATTTTTCTTTACTAATTTTTAGATTAAATATAAGTCTATTAATATCAACACTAGATTTTTTTTAAAAAACACTCTAAGTAAACAGTACCTTTTGATATGAGAAATGGAAAAATGTTTTAGTATTTCTGATGTTAAGGTTATATATTTTAGACAAAGAAAATTGAACTGGAAAAGGGCTCCATAGTAACACAAGTGATTCTGGTTGTGGAAGGGAGGTTATAAGCATTTACAGTGAGACCCTGTGTTCTGATGGGATACCCACAGGCTTCCTCAGGTTTGGTCCAGAAGACTCCTGCTGTGTGTGTGTTCTCTCTCTCCCCCTCTCACGCTCTGCCCCCCCTGGAAACAATTTCTGTAGTTTCAGTCATGACACCAACTAATTTCCTTAAAGATGGGTACTTTTCTTCTGAAGAAATGAAAGCACTTTGAGCAGATCACCTAACCAGTAATAAAAAGCTGTCAGAATGTGTAACTGCAATTTTATGGTTAAGGAAATAGATAAAACATATTCATGCTTTTGAGCATAGGATATAAATATCAGGAATATTTTCTTGCTTTATAATTTGAAACATAAACACTGTATTTCCCTTTAAAGAAAAAGAAGCACATTAAGTAAAAAAAAATCACTTTTTCCCCAAAATTTTGTGGTGAACATTTTACTAGTCCTGCAGTGAATGTTTTGCTTCTCTTGAATTATGTAACCATGTTCAGGGGATTTGAACATAATTATTTCAGTAAAAGTGGGTAGGTCTTCTGAACTTGCATAATTTCCTGTAAGAAAAATTAATTCAGCATTACATAAGTATATCACTCCTCCTAACTGGTTGTCCCAGAAGCAGTGACTGACGGAAATCAGAATGCCGTCATCCACAAAACCGAGGTGAGCGTCCAGCTCTGCTCATCGTGGGCAGCCTACCTTCGGTGACCATTTTTGTAGCCCACAAGTACACGGACTGTCCATAGCACTGAAAAGTTTGAAAAGCAGTAGAATATGTGATCGAGGACCCAAGCACAGGGTAAGAAGATGAAAGGGGAGAAGTAAATCACACTGAAGGTAGGAGAGGTTGAATGCTATCTATGCCCCTCAGGCTGGGCCTTCCATGAAGCTAAGTGATTCCCAGAGGAAAACAAAATTGTTGGTGAGACCAGGGCTGTCTGAGTGAGCAGTCTTCATGTGAGTGGAGATTTCGCTATTTCTGAACAAATATCCTTGGATGGAAGTTTTAGAAGCCCTTTGGAATATTGAAGAGCTCTTGGGGTGTCCTGGTCTGACTATAGTTCTCAGCCATGACAATCTACTTATTATTACAAAAAAATATCATCCATCAAGTAGCCCCAACCATCCCAGTATTGTTTATGCGGGATCCTGACATTGTACTTTTCCTGTGTCTATCTGTCTAATATGTTCCCACACAGGGCACAGTGGCTGCAATGGGGTAGGTGCCGAGGGTAAAGCTGCTTACTTAATGATTGCCACAAGGGAGAACTAAGGTTGATGCCTTCCTGGTGGTGGAAAGGAAGACTTTTTTTTTGTGAGTCTATTTGTGGGATAACCTATCCCACAAATTAGTGGCTTCTTCACCCTCCAATTCAGAGTTTCTATTTTCCAAGAGTGTCTCTTACATTAACAATGAGAAATAAGAAGAGAAGCTGGTATGCAGAGATGTTTGTTGTAATAATATTTATAATATTTAAATATTTGAAGGCACAAAAATGTTTAACAATAGGGGAATAGCTTTAAATAGTAGTATATTCATACCTTAGAATATTATGAAGTCATTAAAATGGTGTTTTAAAAATATTTTAAATAGCAAAATACTGAATATATAATTTGAGTGGAAAAGCAGACTCCAGTTTGCCCAGACATCACCCTTGTGGTTTTAAGTATAGACACAGTCATGTATTTAGCATATAGGTATCTGCCTTGGCCCGTGTGGCTCAGTGGATTGAGTGCTGGCCTGTGAACAAAGGGTCACAGATTCGATTCCCCCTCAGGGCACGTGTCTGGGTTGCGGGCCAGGTCCCCAGCAGGGGGTGTGGGAGAGGCAACCACACATTGGTGTTTCTCTCCCTCTCTTTCTTCCACCTTTCCCCTCCCCCTAAAAATAAAAATAAATCTGAAAAAATATAGGTATCTATTTTGCATGTGTATGAGATTGTGAAAGTGTGTCTGTGTGTCTAGAGAGAGGTCGTACAGAGCAGACATTATAAGTGCAGACTCTGGAGTCAGGCTGCCTGAACGGGAACCCCACATAATGAGTGTCGCTGCATAATGAACCAGTCACTTAACCTCTCCTTTCCTCAGTTCCTCCCTTTGTGCAACAGGGAAGGTACATATCTATCGGGTAGATTTAGGATTAGATGAAGGAATATCTACTTAGACAAAACTCAAAGTGAATAACAAAGTAAAGATTACTCATTTCTTAGCTATTATGACCATTGAAATAGAAACGCACGTTGTATGTGCACAAAATGACCAATGCATGTACACGTTCACAAAACTGTAAAACTGAGCAAAATGCTGTCAGTGAGTATTTCTGACTTTTACATAACTTCTGTGTTTTATTTTACATGTTTTCCTATTTCCCCAGTTTTTCTGGAATGAGCAAATAGTGTTTTTATAATCAGAACTGAAAACTTTATGCATAGTAGTTAAGAACAGATGGATTGAGTTACACACATATGCTTAACATACAATGCTGTGTTAAAATGCGATACTGCTTAAAATACTGCTCAGGACCCAATGTGCACTATAAGGATGCTTATTCGGTTAACACAAGTGGTAGTTGAGGAATTGGATAGTAATGAGTAATTAAAGAATATTCAATCCAAGAGATTTGCAAGAAGGCAAGTTAAAGAAAAAATTGGGATTTTAAGAGAAGGCAGTATCAGGTTGGCTAAGCTTGGATTTTATAATTCTTTCTACAACTTAACTGTATTTGGTAGACAGCATTGAAAACTCCTGTGCAAAGGGAGAAAGTTAGAAAATCTATGGAAAGATAAATGAATTTGATGGCAAAATCCAGGTTCTAGGTAAGATGGGGAACATAATATGAGAACAAGACAGAAGAACTTTGTTTTAAAGAGGAAAGTCTTCTATATGATCCTGAGTGTGGAGGGCAGTGTTAGATATAGGCATCCAGACGTTGTATGTAAAAAACCTAAGAAAATACCAAGTCAAGTGTGGTGAGATGGTAGTTGATGAGTTTTGATTGGAAATTCCAAATTGGTAAATGCAGTTCTAGATTCCTAGTTAGAACCGTAAGTGAGGATTAATATTTTTCATTTTTTCTGTTATTTTTATGTAATAATCCTATGACTTTTCCTCAATTGCAGTAGTGAAATAAATTAATACATTTTTTTCTGATAGAGAAGCTTTCCTGATTTTGAGAATCCACACCATATGGTCGTGAGGAATGTACACTTCTAGGTCCCATTTGTGAAATTATCATCTAGGATTTTCTTCCTATAATCAGAAATGAGTGAATATCTACTTATCCTATTTTCATCAAGTTGAAATTTTAGTAATTTACTATCTCATAAAGTGTGTTAGAAACTGTGCTCTTTTGGACTTCTCTTCTTCAACATTTTTGGGGGAGTTATTCAAATTACCTGAACCTTTCAGCAATTTATTTTTTTGCAATTTGTTTATTGTTGTTCAGTTACAGTTGTCCCGCCTTTGTCCTGTTGCTT